AAGTATAACTTCCTACGTGCGTACATAAGTACACACACACACACACACACACACTTTTTTATATCAATAGTAACCATCTTTCATTATGTATATTTTTTCGCCAAAACTATAATTATTTCAGATTATAAAATGCATTCGAATTTAGATCAAATATAACACAGCATAATCATAGAACAGTTTTCTTTTTAAATCACGTAAATCGTTTTCGTAGATTATAAGTTGTCGTATTTTTTGTGTGTGTCGGTAAATATTTGCCCACGACGCCATAACACCGCCCGCGCGTCCTGGTATAGCGCAAGACAGCTGTCAACTGAGTCCAAGGGTTAAACCTAAATGGGTGACTGTTCACTTTAATAGGTTTTCTTTATTTCTCAAATTTTAAACTACATAATGGATGATCCTTATGCACCAAATGATTAAACCAGTGAGGGGTATATCTTTCCTAATTCTGTGCTACTGCCACTACTTCACGAAAATGTCTCCCTATAACACGGAGTGTACGCTGTTAGTGATACCTACTGTAGATACTAAGCAAGTAAGCTTGCTTAGGACTTGGTTCGACTTGTTCATTTACACACGTATTGTTTACTGCTGAAACTTGCTACTTGTGAGTTACATCGCTCCTTTCACAAAGCCTCTCGCAGCAGACTTGTTAAAGACTGGCGAGCATTCAAATTCAAGACCCACTGTCGTAAGCTTCAGATCGCTAAAACCACGCGTCATCTCATACAAGTTTCATTACCTCCATATTATCACATAAACAATAACATAGAGGAATAGTACTCAAATAAATAAAACGCCAAAATCCATTTCATCACTTTATTTCAAGGCTGAACTGAATATTTTTATTTCTATATAAACAATTTCAAAATTATATGCCCTTATTTACTACTTATAGATTATCAAACGAAATGTATCAGTCATGTTTTGCATCCAGACCATTTAACACATTACACATTTCCGCCTTACTGTATGACCAGCTTTCTGATAACACAGTGACTGCCCAATACAAATATTTCATCATAATGTCTATTAATTTTTGTTTTTACTTAAAATCAAGATAATTTGGTTTCAATTCTAGAACACACGTACAGTACATTTTAATTGCCCGCTTGTTTACAGTTAAAATAATAGTATATATAGAGTGATTATAAGTAAAAACAAGCTTTTCTGCAATTTTATTAAATTTTCGCACAATAACGTTAATATATATATAGTTTTCACATACAGAGCACACAGACAGACCACCATTTATTTGCTAGTTTATTACAAAAACACACTTAGGTACATCACTTTATCTTATAAGTTAATATTTATTGATAATTTTCAAGTTAGCAATTTGGAATCCCTCTTATAGTCTCACAGCACCAACAATTAATTCAATTTATACGTTAAAATACACAAATAATATTTTTGAATATGTACAAAACTGTATAAATTGATTGTTCTTAGTGGCAACACTGCAAGACCAAAGAGGTTTGTAAAGCCCTAAGATTTTTTTTAATGGCAGTGTTATTTAAGCCCATAGGTCACCATTTTTTAACTATAAAATCTTTGATACATTGTAGAAAAGTACAAAAATGGTCACCAACGAGCAAAGTACGAATAATTGATCCGTTAAGACTATCAATAAAGTACAGCAAGTTACATATTTACTTTATATAACCATCTTTATTGGAATGTAGGAATAAGAGATATTTTTACATGTTAATTTAATCTATACTTCTAATGTCAGGTTGACTTTATTAATCCTATTAAAATCTCGCTGCCTCGTGTCGTATGTCATATTAATATAAGAGCATATTTGCGTAACATACAAAATGTTCTGAGATCTACAACGTGTTACAATTCAACTAAAGTTGTACAAATGTTAACTTAAAATAAATGTTAATTACATTTAAAATCGACTAATGAAATTGTTTATTGCCGCCTACGGACAACAAAAAATAGTAAAAGTAAAACAAAAATACTTATGCATTTGTATCGATACATTATATGAAAGTATAGGATTGACTTTGAAAAATATTTTTTTAATTTATTGTATTAAAAGAATTCACTTATTTTGCTTTTTCAAATGCTGCAAAATCATTTGATATAATTTAAAATTAAAAATTTTGTACGTCCGACTTCAATATAAATTATTAAGAATAACTCAAAAACTATTAGTCTGGCTTTGATTAAATTCATATGGGACCACATGTGAAGTACCAGCTTTCAAATAAAAAAAGAATCATCGAAATCGATTCACCCAGTAAAAAGTTATAAGGTAACACACGTAAAAAAAACATACAGTCGAATTGAGTATCGTCTCCTTTTTGAAGTCGGCAGAAAATAAATTAAAATGAAAGTAAATTGCAAACTTAATACCAATAGTATTAAGTAAAAACGTTCGAACGTTCCGAAATAAATTTAATTATTTAATTAAAATCAAGTGTTGCTAGAACAAAAATGTCAAATATATCTGAAATAAATAATCTGTTCAAAATACTTTTAATATTAAAGAGAACAGACTTCCTCGAACAGTTCTCATGAAATCGCTTGAAATATCGCTTGCCGTTAAAGTTTAAAAGGATTGAATTCGCTATCAATATCAATCCTACAATTTGTAACTTTTAACGTTGCAATAACATTGTGCTCAATTTATTTATTCGTACCGTATCTTTAATAAAATATACTAATTTGTAACACTCCCTAAAAACAAAATTCTCCGATTTACTCATTACTCTGTATTGAAGATAAGCGATATAATGAAATATTTGGAATTATATTATAGATCAAATGTTAATCATACAATTCGTTGATATGCATAATTATAAGACACCTTGTATATTTTCCTATTATTATCCATATAAAAGTTACTTTAGGACTATTGAATACTAGGTTATACGTAACGGCTTCTCGACAATATACATATTTACAATTTAGGCCTAATAAACATTTTTATTCAATATTTATTTATACTTCTATGTTTCAAGAACATCTCTTACTAAATGTAAAATATTTTAAAGGATTAAAGGTGACGAGTTCCCTTTGATCGTAAACATACAAATAAGAGAATGAAACTTTTTCGCAAAAAATTTAGGTTTTCTAGAACTACAAAGGCAATTTCGTATGAAATGAAAAATAGAAAACGCAACCCTTCTAATTTTGCTCCCGTCTAATAGTAGTATGGAAATACACGAATAAAGCCTTTTTACGGCGACCGGTAGAAAATAAATAGTCGTTACATTTACATTAGATATATTTATTAGTTTAACTTTTTTTATCTTAAAGCAACTATTTCGTTAAACATGGCGGAATAAAAGGACAACGTTTACACAATCACTGCTTTAAACTCCCCTTTTATTTATCCAATAAAAATAAGATTACTATAATTACAATACATTACAATTCTAACTTCTGGACGTTATAGTTACAAAACCAATAGTATAAATAATATACAGAAATTATTTGCTAAGGTGGAAAATTACACGTAATACATTAAACAATAAAAAAAATGTAAAAAATAATCTTACGCCTATTACATACGAAACAATGGAGTTTCAAATAGTACTTTTTAAACTTCTACCAAACTTTTAACTGTAGACACAGTTCGCAGAAAAATTACCATTTTGTAACATGGTAGAAATTTAAAAATTACTGTAAACATAACTTTAAAAAAAGAAAGGAATAATGGCACTAACCCTTTTAATATATACTTAAATTTACGTAACGACACTGTCATAAATGCTGCCAATCAACAATACTAAAATATCGATGATCGATTAAGTCGAATTATTCATAAAATAAACCTAGGCGAATAACAAAACAATAAAATAGAAAGAATTGTACTAAACCATAATTCACTTGCAACGCTGCGACACGGTTACATTACATCAACTCCGCCATCTTAATTTTTAATACATACAAAATTACTTTACACGGAACAATTACGTAGAAATAATTTAGGCGTATCTACAACGATGCCTAAACAACAGTACAAATCAGTCATTTCTTAAAACATATTAACACTTTTTTTTAATGTCCGAAATATTAATCTTTACACATCGATAATTATAGCGAAATAGAGCGCGCATTCTGTTATCTGGAGAAGTCCATTTTGAATCAGTGGCAGTCGTTTTATAATTTGTAACGATTCTTTAATTGAAAGCTTGTAGACGTGATTACTAATAGGAAACTTAAACCGATTGCTTTTTCGCCACAACTCTCATCAATGGCGAATCAATATTCGAAAAATGTCGGTTTTCCAATCGGTTAGTTATAATTGACAGTTAAACACATTTAATAACAGCTAACCAATACTAAATAGTTTAGTATCCATATACTTTCAAATGCGATGTGTTAAGGAAAAAAAATTCAATGTGCAAAAATCATCAAGTCTTTATATCTAATGTTCACAAGCTAAGGTCGAAAATAATAAGTATAGTGATTTAAAATTAATTTTGTTTTAACGGACATTTTAATATTAAAATATATATAATTTTACTAAAATGGCAATTGTACAAGTAGTAGGTTTTTGCTGTTACCAACGGAATACTACAAGCCATTTTAATATTTTTTTTTAAAATGTATACACAAATATTAGGCAAACCAACGTGTTTATTATCTTAAACTGAAAGATAAGTACATTTAATAAAATTCCGCTATATTTCCCAACAAAATTGATTTTAAATCGGATATATATTTATTAAGAAATGTCACTTTTATAACATAAACCCAAAATCGCGTACAATTATCACAGGCTTTTTAGGGAGTTCCTACGTTATATCCAGAGCGGTGGGTCCAGTGATTGACTCCTTCACAACACTGTTTATAGCGTTTTAAAACACAGGTCAAGGTCGGAATTTAAAAAAAATAAACGCTTTAAAGCGATAAGGCATCTTTAAGCTTGGTCTTTGCTAACGGTCGCTCAACAAAGCGCCACTTTTAGGGCTATTTCGCCCTTATGCTTTTGAAATGTAAGGTTGATGTTTGATTGGCTACACGAGCCAAGCGTGGCGCTAGCACCAAGATTCCTCGTGTGGTGCTCTATCGTCTTCTGAATCCCCATACATATCGGCAAGTTTGCGGAATCGGGGACCGAATGTAGATAAATAATTGAATTTGAGGTCACCGTCGTCGGTACCTAAAGAAACAAAAATAATTTTTAGCAAAACATAATTCCTCTAAATGCTGCATAAGTTTAAAACTACAATGAAACATTTAAAACAAAACTTCTTTATCTGGCCGTAACGATCCAACGCTAGGCATTAGCGCGGCGCAAGTTCAGTGCCGTATAAGTACGTATCATTAACGCCAATCCTCGTGGCTGGTTTGTGTCTTACAACACCCCCGTGATGCTGTGGGCTGATGGATTCCATATTGTTAGATAGATAGAACGTTACAGAAAAGATTACGCATCCTTCCCCACATCTCTACGCACCGTACACCCACTAGTCTGGTCACATCTCCCTCAGAATGTCAACCGACGAAGCTAAGCCGTCAGAGCCGGGGCCCGCTTACCCTGGATCTAATCTCGGTTAGATAACTCATCTGTACACAGATTCGAGTATAGGTGAACACTGTAATTGAAATAGGACTTTCTGATCGTTTGAAACCGAAACATCATCATCATCAGTCACCTCTAAGTCCGATGAAGCTGTAAAAGCCAACTGCCTAACAGCACTAACAAAACAGAATATAGATCAACTATGGCGACAACTTACGATTATTATTAAAAAACTGTCAACTGCACAGGACGTATTATTCTACCTTAAGTGTGCGTTTTTATATCAAAATGTGCAAGCAATTCAGCAAATTTATTTCCATATTTCACTAGCACCTAGACAATTTCGAAATGTACTCAAAAAATGTAAACATGTATACAAACCTCGTTAGTACGTAAAACAAAACTATTTTACAAGTCAATTCGGAACACAGAAAACAGCGGTGTTTTTATCCAACATATTTTAGCCACTATCGTATGGTTAACAAAAAAAATGAAACAACACGCGCAAAATACATATGTAGCATTTACTTTATGTGAAGTATCGTGACAATAATGAAGATTGATGAAGATAAATTCGCTTGTAAAAAAAAATGGGTCTAGTTTAGATGCTAGTGCGAAATTTGTTTGGAAATATCATTATTATTTATTTAGAACACCTTAGTGTAAAGTTTATTTGTATACAGAGTGATTGATTGATGATGATGATGCCCCCAGAGCCGATTTCAACTACGGTAATAATTTTCGATATCTATGAAAATTACAACTGTGTATCAAGCAAAATATTCAGAAAGAACTACAGTACACATTGTTTCTCAAACATATCGGCTTAGACCATGAATACCCGAAACTCTTAGATGTTCAGAATAATTTCAATCTACTGTACAGTATATTATCATTAAGGCAGGCAATCATTAAATATTACACTAGATATTTTTCGACCGAGACGAGCTATGTAGTCAGAGACGGCGTAGCGGTCCGCACATTCCTACTCGGACGACGATTACATAGCTCAAAAACCCCAACAGGGAACCTGATAATTGGTCACGATTACAATCATCATCATCGCCTTTCCCCTCAGTGAAATGAAGCTGTGGAAGCCAGAAGGCTAGCTTTTTCTCATCTCAGATCAAAGACAAGACTAGATATTTTTATAGCCAAATATTGTCCCGTAGTGTCTAAACTAAATTAAAAACGGAAATTTAAAGTCAACACAGGCACTCGCTCTCTTCCACACTTAGTCACATGAAATATCATTAATCCGTAAACAATCAACAGCCAAACGGATTTTTTTTATTAATTTTGCAATAAAATTTACTCGCACGCCATTTTTTCGTAAGAAACATGAAATGCGAATGAGTCTCTGTTTCTAACAGCGTATTTTGTTACTTGTTGCAACTGGCCTTGGCCGGTTAAACCGAATAAATAGCATAGAAGTTGCAAAACACAAGTCGCTCGCAAATATCATCGTGTGACTAAGGCCTTAACGTCACCACTATACGACAAAACATGAAACAAATATTAAACGCAACAGTAATTGTATTCGACCGAGATTAGAACCGGGGGTAACGAATCAAAGTGAAGGTATTCTGACCCCCAATTGCAGTGGCTATATTTACCATTGCACGTTCGTTCGCATCACTTTAAACAAGGCATGTCGTGTCCAATTTTCGTGTCACTGACATCCTACAAATAATTGACGTGCGAAATCATTTAAGCAATCAAAATTGAAACAGGTCGTGTTTCACACCATTCAAAGCGTCCCGTATCTAGTGAATTTTGCAATATTCGTAGGAATTGTTTAACTACCATCATACATAATATGCGCGCGGGATAAGAATAGGATTGTATTTACTGGCAACTTTAATCGCTAAACGTCACTTTTCATCATCATCATCATCATTACAGCCCTTCACAAGTCCACTGCTGAACATAGGCCTCCCCCAAAGAATGCCACAAAGCACGGTCCTGAGCCACCTGCATCCATCGACTTCCTGCATATCTTACCAGGTCGTCACTCCATCTAGTGGGGGGACGCCCTACACTTCGCCTGCCGGTACGAGGCTGCCACTCGAGAACCTTTCTTCCCCATCGGTTGTCGGTTCTTCGAGCTATATGGCCAGCCCACTGCCACTTCAGCTTACTAATCCGTTGGGCTATGTCGGTCACTCTGGTTCTACTGCGGATATCCTCATTCCTAAGTTTATCACGCAGAGAAACTCCGAGCATAGCCCTCTCCATAGCTCGCTGAGCGACATTGAGCTTCCTCATCCGGCCAGCAGTGAAGGATCACTTTTCATGACATGGACATAATCATCGGCATTTTATGAACATTATTTTATTTATTTTAAAGGAAATAGAGGAATGCCACAAAGCACGGTCCTGAGCCACCTGCATCCATCGACTTCCTGCATATCTTACCAGGTCGTCACTCCATCTTCTGCACTACACTCACCTTGAGCATGAAAATTAATATTTATTAAATTAATATTTATTTCATTTTTATACACCCCAAACAATACACTTATAGTTAGTGCGAAGTGAAATGTCTGTTTGACGGTCCCATTCTCATCGTACGCGCATTATACCTTTTGTTTATCACGGTAAAATGATTCATGTAGGTACTTGATAAACACTAAATCAAAGTATATTAAAAAAATCAACAACTAGCTTTCGATAATTAACGCCGATGCGTTCGTTCAATAAATATTAATGTTGTAATTTGCGCAAACATATATTTTTATTCATCAATTCATTCTTTCCGAAGTAAAATTTATTTTATAAAAATCTAAAGTGAACGAGATTCACCAGGCATGAATTTTACATTTAGCTTTCGCTACACAAAATAGTTTCTATCAACCGTATATTTAGCAAATTAAGGAATATTGTGCAAAATTACTTACAGCTTGCAAGCGAGGAAAGAGAGCCACTTGTATTCCCGTCTCCCTCGTAAGCGTAGTGTCGGACGTCGTCGTACGGATTGATGTCCGGATCTCGGTCGAGGACGGATTTTTTATCGTCGAGGAAACCGGAGATATCCGGCGCGGCACCCACCACTAAACGAGTTAATGTTACTTTAATAAAATAATCAACAAAAATGTGTTGTATGCTTTATATTATCCCATCATTCCTGGAGCCAGGCAATAATCACATTCTTGTTGTAGAAATTAAAGTGAAATAATTAGTATCCATACAAGTCGTTCAGTGTTATTAGTATCAGTAAGGTATTCATTATAAACTTGAATGACATACCTCTCCAATATGTAAGTATATGTAATTATAAATAAAAAATAATACATTTAGGGCCGATTTTTCAATCCCCAGATAAAAGTTATTTGTAGAATAAAATACAACATAACCAAATTAATTGTGCGAACAAAATATTTCAATTTCTTCACTTTTATATTCAGCCCAGTTATAGTTTATTTGACGGGAAAAAATTTCTTTGAGACCAAAACACCGTGAAAGATTTTCCTTTGGTATTTATTTTAAAACATTAATATATACCTGGAGCCTGCATAAACGTGGCAGATCGGTCGTTGTCGATCGGGGGACCGTCGTACATTTGCCTCAGAACGTGCAAATCGTAGCCAGCGTCGCCTTCGCCGCCCCCCTCGTCTTCATACGCGATGATATTTTCTCTGATATCGTCCAATTCCTTTTCGGCCCACGCATCAGCTCTTCGACGATGCACCACTACGGCTAATAATAGTACTGTAAAAGAAAAATATATATAAAAATCTGTATATTTTTTTTAAAATTAAAAACAGCTTAAGTTACTCGCGTTAAGGTTCTTATTAGCTAAACGCCATGAAAAATTTCAACATAAAATTATTTTTACGAGGCACACAATATCGACGGCCTGACATCGGAATGTGAGATTTTTATTGCACTGTCTTTTAAAAGCACTTAATAGATTTTGAAAAGTTAAATCTTAGAAAACGTCCAACTATGCCAAATACTACGAGACAGTTCAACAACGTCAACCGTAATGCCGCAATACAAATAAACAAAAATCCCTGCTTTAATAACTCGAAAACTATTGGTCAGACCTTGATCAAATTTATATGGGAACACATGTGAAGCACCAGCTTTCAAATAAAAATAATCATCGAAATCGGTTCACCGAGTAAGAAGTTATGAGGTAACACACATTAAAAAAAAAACAGTATCTCAACTCGAACTGTTATGCGTACTGGTTATTGCAATATTAGGCTGTGAAATTTATTCATGACATGTGCAAGGAAACACCGAATTGTGTGATTTTTTTCGTTGAGATATATAATATATCTTTAAAGAGTATTACGGATTATTAGTAATAAGATATTTAATTAATCTTTGTTGGAGTTGTGATAGCACAGTGGGTTTTACGCTCGCCAAATTTAATATTACGGTTACGGTTTAGAATTAGCTACCCGCAGACGAAACTAAAACGTGCACGGCAGTGAAGCAAAAATAATGAGGAAACCTGCATGCCTTAGCAATCAAAAATATTTCGAGGACATGTAATGTCCACTAACACGCACTGCACTACTGTGAGTATCCTGGAGAATTCCCTGCTTCAAAAACCTCCTATTAAAGAGAGAAGGTCTATGTGTAAGATTGGGCCAGATGTATACATCACGTAAATTCATATATAATTAATTTCTTGTATGTACTTACTGACTAATATCGCTATGCAGACTAATATTGCGACGAGGAAGTTGGTGTCGATGCCAAATGTGACCGCCGTGAACATGCTTTTCTGACAGCTTGGATCGGCGTTGTGATGTACCGACGGCTCACCCAAATTGTACATCTATTAGACAAAATAGGAATTCAGTTTTAAATTAGTATAGAGATTTTATCTCTGCATTTTATAAGTGATCAATAATTCAATATAATTGTGTAAATAATAAGAACCCCTATTATAATGTTTCAAAGCCCCATATTTCACCATCGTCACATAAAGTTATAAAGTAAAGATTTCTGGTCAACAATACCCTCAACGACAAGTAATAAATATCTTTACGCTCTATCACCATAACAAAGAAACAGCCAGGATACTATCGAATATTACTATCATTAGAAGTATAGTAGTTTTTGTCGCAATATTTAATAACTACTTTTACTTGGTGATAGGATTTCTTTATTTATCTAGTATTACACGACTTCTTTTCCCCCTAGGCGTTCGCCTGCGTCTCTTATCTCCTCTACCCTTTTACCTATTTCTACCTCCAAGCAGCAGTGACCAAAGGCTGGGACTGAAAGCATTCATCTTGGTCCTCTATAAGTAAAGCTTCTGTGGCCTATGTTTAAAATGCCTTCAAGACGCACGAGAAATTACCAATGGTTTTATTAATTTAATGTTTATAGATCATCCTGATACTTAGCGCAATAAAAACATCGCTATGTTCCATATGGTGATAAAATAAATTTTGAATTCTATCTAAATGTATCGAATAAGCAAAATTATACGTTCACTACCACAATTCACAAACAATTGTGCAGCGATAACGTAATTGTTCGCCCGACACATTTATGGAACCACCGTCCCATACATAATTCTATTACATGCATACACTAGTGTTATGTGGTAACCACAACATAAAGAATTCCAAAGACATGGCCTTTAAAATTAAATAAAATATAATCCATTCATCGATCCATCCATTACACCTGAACCTGCCTGTTTTTAAAGTCCACCGTTAAACATAAGCTGGAGGAGATAATATTTTTGCTGAAGAGGTAAAGCACCTTGGAGAACAAGGCATAAAAATAATGCGTGATCTATGCAATATCGTATGGAATACAGGATTTTGGCCCACTGACCGGAAAAAATCGCTAGCGATTCCATTACACAAAAAAGGATCAACGAGAATATTTGGGAAGTATCGCACGGTGGCTCTGATACCTCATGCGAGCAAGATAATGCTGTATGTACTCAATAGTAGATTACAATCCTATCTACAGTGGCAAATACCCAGTGAACAGGCGGGATTTGTTAAAGGACGGGGCACAAGAGAACAGATCGTGAACGTGAGGCAAATAATTGAGAAAAGCCGGGAGTTCAATACACCTGTGTTCATGTGCTTCATTGACTACTCTAAAAGCATTTGACTGTGTAAGATGGAACTGTCTATGGGACATACTCCGGGAAATGGGCGTATCTCAACATCTTATAGTATTGATTGCAAATCTGTAACAAGAAGGCGAATTCATGGTTAGAGTCAATGACGTCATCTTTGGACCATTCAAGCCGAAAAAGGAAGTAAGGCATGGATGAATCCTGTCTCCTATCCTGTTTAACATCTACGGGGAATACATAATGAAAACGGCCCTAAAACGATGGGAGAGAGGAATTTCAATCGGAGGTGTTAAGATTGCATCATCGGATAAAGAACGCGCTCAATTCTTTCGCAGATTAGAGGTAGAGAGTGGACTAGCTGGACTTAGTATTAACAAGTCCAAAACAACAGTTATGCTGATTGACAGAACCGGTCAACTCTCTAGGACTGCAGAATTCTCGGATCTATTGTTTGTGATTGAGTTTGTGTACCTCGGATCGCTACTTTCGGACAGAGGAAGAAGTGAACATGACATAAGAAGACGAATTCAAACAGCCAAAGGTAGGCAGATTAAAAAAAAATTGGCAAAACAGGAAAATCTCTAATGTCACCAAAAAGAGAGTTGTCAGAACTTTAGTGTTCTCCATCTTCCTTTATGGCTCTGGAGCATGTACGATTCGAGCAGCAGACAAGAAAAGGATTGATGCGTTCGAAATGTGGTGTTGGAGAAGGATGCTTCGGATACCATGAAGCGCTAATAGGACCAACGAGTTGATCCTGTGGCAGCTTCGTGCTGACACCAGACTCTCCACTACGTGTTACCAGAGTATTCTGAGTTACTTTGATCTGATTTTGGTTTGGTTAAGGTTAGGTTTGTAGGTATCAAGAGGTTAGTAGAGGTTTGTTGGGGATTTGTAGAAATTTGTAAGGGTTTGTTTGGCTTCTTGAGCGGTTTATAGGGGTTAGGAGGGGTTTTAGGGATTTGTAGGGTTTAGTTTGGTTTGCTTGATTGGTTCGATTGTTATGATTTCGTTAAAATTATACGCGAGTGAAACCGTAGGGCTCCGGTAGTATATCTATAAATTCAACATTTAATTTTAATTCAGGCCTGTTAGATAAGTACCGAAGTGCATTTATTATCTATACTTTATTATTTTAAATATAATAAAGCGGAAGAGTTTTTTTGTTTTTTTTGTTTGTTTAAACGCGCAAATCTCTGGAAATACCAGTCCGATTTAAATTTTTTTTGTATATTATAGCCAGATTCATGTGGAATAGTATAGGCTATCTAGCATCAAGCTATATTACTCAGCTAGCCTTAAATATGGATATTTGTTAAGCAAGTCAAAAGAAAAAGCACTCCCGAAATGATTTATCCGCGTACGCTGTTGTTTTCGTTAGGGATACGTAAATACAATGTTCTAGAAAAATATAGACCTTTACTCAATCTAAAAAAAGTCCGCGATACCATATGTCTATTTCTTATACATAAGCCATAATTTGGTATTTTGTGACAAAAAAAATATTGAAAATTTAAAAGTGATTTATGAGCGTTATTATTAGGCATGGCCTATTTATCCTTACGAACGAAAGTTACTTCATCATCAAGACAATTTTATGAAGATAAACTTTGTTCTTTATACCATGTTATTTGGACGCATAGTTTAAGAGATAATGTAAAATTAAAATAATTTAATACTTGGCTGGGCGCGCGAACGACGCTTAAACTCTAGCCGTTATAAAATGCTTGAACTAGATCATGTCGCGCACCTCGGACACGTGATGACGCAGGTGAAACCACGGGGCACAGCTAGTAACATATAATAGTGATTCGCAGTAGATTTGTTTAATTTCACATCCTGTATTGTGAAGCGAGGCTATAGGGCAAACAAGCACAAAATATTTTTGGTTGCTATTTGGCTAACATCTCAAGGAATGTAGTGTATATCCACTAACGTAATTACAGTTTCGTATTTTTGTCCAATATCTAATATGAAATCGGTTTCACACAATGTTAAGGACAAAGTTTTTTATTTTTTATAGATTATTAGCCCAGCCCAGATGTGCCATAGTTTTGGAAACTACCGAACATTACGGCTTTATTTGAGTCACATTGCTCCTGTAAAATTACCCAAATGGTATATTAGCATAACAAGCACTGAGGTGACGAAATGCCTCCTAAGATACGGGAGAAATTATCACTAGTGGGGTGAATGGTAATATTTATATAAAAATGCCAATAGTAAAAAAATTATATGAGAGACGTATTAGGACTGTGATCACCAACCCGTTTACCAGGCGTGGTGATGATGATCCTCTCTACGACCCGAGAGATCCAAATCCAAGAAGGGACTTTGTCGGGCGGACACAGTAGGAGAAAATCCTTCTATGTGGATAACTTTTTTTTTAAATTACTACTAATATTCGTAAGAGCACTAAATGTAACACAAATAAAGTAGTTGCATCTTATCCACGCGATGAAAAATTTACCACGCGAGATACCCACGTGAACGAAGAGTAACTCCATCACTAGACTAGATAATATTCTAAAAGAAACTAAATAACTTACAAAATCGTTGTACGTGAAGTTACTGATGCAACCAACGAAATGTTGGTTCGTCGGTACGTGTTGCCAGCCGAACGTCCTCGCTACGTTTTGTAGATCGATACTTGCACCTCCCAGCTGAAGTGGCCCGTTAACTGTAGAATTAAGTAATTACTAGATATTATATTAAAATTTAAAATTAATAATATATTGTTAATTATTTTAATAAAAAAGCATTAACTTCTACAAAAATTAAATTATTTTACCCTTTTGAGCGGTCCAAGGAAGGAATATAACAAATGCAAGATAACATTTAGAAAGTCGTTCAAATAGGTACATTAAAATCTTCACCCGTTTTTCAACCCTTAGGGATGGAATTTTTTCTTTCGATTATTATGGGATCGTCCTCAAAATAGCATATTTAATTTTAAAAAAATCATTTAAATCGCTAAATATACATTAAAAAAACTAACGCATCAAATATAGTACCTTTCCGTTTTAGAACTCAGTTAATAACAAAGACGGATCTGTATGTCATTGACATGTCAAAATATAACTGTGATTAACCTAGTGAGGTTTTAGTCGTGAAATTATTGCATTGCTATTGATTCTTAATACATCTACGAAAGTAAGTAAAAAACTGCTAAAATTACATTACATTCATCATCATTCATCATTACAGCCCTTCACAAGTCCACTGCTGAACATAGGTCTCCCCCAAGGAATGCCACAAAGCACGGTCCTGAGCCACCTGCATCACTGTCGTCACTCCATCTAGTGGGGGGGCGCCCAACACTTCGCCTGCCGGTACGAGGCTGCCACTCGAGAACCTTTCTTCCCATCGGTTGTCGGTTCTTCGAGCTATATGGCCGGCCCATTGCCACTTCAGCTTACTAATCCGTTGGGCTATGTCGGTCACTCTGGTTCTACTGCGGATATCCTCATTTCTGAGTTTATCACGCAGAGAAACTCCGAGCATAGCCCTCTCCATAGCTCGCTGAGCGACCTTGAGCTTCCTCATACGGCCAGCAGTGAAGGACCACGTCTCAGATCCGTAAGTCATCACTGGCAACACGCACTGGTTGTACATTTCGTTTTAAGGTTTTGAGGTATGTCTGACGAGAAGATGTGTCGTAGTTTCCCGAACGCTGCCCAGCCGAGTTGAATCCGTCGATTGACCTCTCGGTCGAAGTTGGACTTACCTAGTCGGACTATTTGTCCCAGGTAAACATACTCGTCAACAACTTCGAGCTTAGTGCTTCCAACAACTACCGGCATAGGTGTGACATGGACATTAAACATGATCTTTGTTTTATTACATTACATTCATATATATACATACACAAAAGTTTATATATGTAAATAAATAAAGCTATAATTATGGTAATTAATTATATATTTCCTCTAACATGGGATATGTTAATCAAAGATATAAATTATCTGCAGACACGCTTTATTTTTAAATTTAGAAATATTTACGATAATACTAAAAGAGACTAAAAATCTAACAATAACAAATCTGCGCATGGCAGGGTTATGTGCACAAGTGTGACCGGAGAGAGATCAGGCGCCAGGCCAACGGCTTTAAGTGCTTTTAGAGGTACGAGGGTGAAAAATCGCGAACTTACTGACTGCACGCTGCTTATGAGTATTTCTTGATAGATAAATCCAATAACTTTGGTCTGACCCGGGATGCAAGCCTGTGATTACACGATCTTCAGGCGCACTTGCGACCACGAGACCGACGCCGCAGTCAAATGAAGTTTATTTCCTTCTTTTTTTAATTGTATGACGTCATACTCACCATTAAGTATTTCTCTAGGTCCGGTGGGTGCGGCTAGACTCATACACGTCGACAGCTTGCACCTGTCCACGAACATTTCTATGGAACTCCTCATGAGGACTATCTCTATGAGATGCGGTTTGCCATCGGCCACGTGGACTACGCTGTTGTTCAAACGTGTGGTGCCGGAGCCGTAGTTTACAAGGAGAACTAGAAATCCGTCGACAAGTTCCAGAGACATGAAATCTGGGGACAAAAATATGTTTTTAATGACTTGATTGGTTTTCACTCTATGTACCTATAACAAATTCAGTCTTTACCGTAAGAGCACATAGGACACGAGCACAGGGCTCCGGCCTAACATTGGCCCCAAGTGTTGAAACGCATCTCTATGCTTTTTTTTATAGAATAAGTGTGACAAACGAGTTCTTCAAGATAAAGAGTGAATAGGCTTTTGTTACGCTAAGAAAGTGCGATTTACCATCAAAGGCTACATCACCACTTACCCACCAGGTGGGATTGTGGTCAAGCACTGGATTATAATAAGTAAAAAAAAAAATAGTACACAGCCTATCCCATTTTAAGTGGATGCTAAAGCCCTAAGACATCTACATCTATCCTCGATTAAGAATCACAATGCTGGTGCGTTATCACTCCTGAGGACTAAGATGGAATACCTCGTTTCCAATGAAAAGGGTTTCCAGTTTACTGCACTAACCATACGAAACAGTAGCATTAAGTTGCATCTTAATGCTGATTTACCACGTGCTTTCCGGCGAAGCAAAACATCGTGAGAAAACCAAATCACAATCGTATGTGTAGTCTGGCACCTCGCATTGATCTAATGCGGCGGACTAATCCTTGCCCAAAGTAAAGCATTCTAAGGAATTAGATAAGACCTATGCCACAGCCTTATTATATTAATACTGCCTTTGCCGAACAGTAGGATTTATTAAAATCATATACTTTTATAATTCCATAAATAACAACAATCGTCCATAAATATTTTATAAACAACAACAAAAACTAAAATTATCGTATTCGTATTGCACTAACTACCGCGCCTTAATGCCTAAAAAGCTGGCTACGTTTTCTCGCTGATTGATTATAATTATCTTGTTGCCGAGGTGAGGAAAAAACTAGCCCTCTTTCCACTGGTGGTAATGATTATTTTGTGGGTACGGTTGTTAAAGAATGTTAGCAGAGCATATAAGCCATAGACTTTCCAAAACCCTTTCAGATATAAGAGACGATTGCTTTGCCACATAGATTGCCTAAAAGAAAGTTTTGTCATAGTTATAATGCTTGGCAGGCTGGTTAGTAACCGCAATTTTTTTTATTTCTTTCAGTTATCTCTTACGACATCCACGGCATGATATGAGATAGAAGTTATTCTTGCGTCCACACAACACAATAACGAATTTTATCGTATTTATTTCTACTTAGTTCATTTGATCGATCTCAAACTTGAGTGGCTGTTACAGAGCACTGTTTGTGAGTTCCAATTTAAACGGATATATAATATGGAAGTGCAAGAAAAATGCTATTTTTAACATTGTAGCAATTTCGAAGCAGGCTTCAGACGACACATAAATATGTACATGATTTGGAATCATCAAAATTACGGTCAGTAATTTTAATCAATCATTTAATCAAAGGTAAACAATATATAATTATCTATACACCTGTTTTTATAAATAAATGAATAATTCAAATACACGTGGTCTATTCTTGAGATCAGAAATAGAGGAGGCCTGGGCACGTTGCACACGCAATGGGCCAATTTATATTGGTTGTTCTTACTTTTATCTCATTATACTATACATTTACTACTATAATAATACAATAACAAAGTCCCAAAAGAAAACCGCATTCAGGAGATTATTGTATCCTTTTCAGTTCTTTGAAGTCGGCTTTTACTCTTTAATAAAAGGTTTATTTTTTTACCCCTTTGACTGGACTAGGAATTGCACAAGTTCAAGACAGCAACTATGCCGTCTAGATGGTTACATGTATAACTTCACCCCTTATTTACCATCCTTCAAGTTGGAACTTTTTCTTCAAATGTATATAAAACCTACTGTGAAGTACATCCTATTTAATTTAAAAAAAAACATTAAAGTCATTCACAATTGACAAAGATGTCGCGTAATATACATATATAAAAACCTACAGTCGAATCGAAAGCCTCTTTCTGTTATTGAGTCGTCCAAATATATATATATATATATATATATATATATATATATATATATATATATCTATGTTATGTAAGTCAGCAACAAAATACAAAGTAAACATCAAACTACAAGACATATAACTTAAAAGTGACAACCGAACCGCATTAGTTAAAATATATAAATTACACATTTGAACACAAAGCAACGTCGCCTTCCTTAGAAATTACACCCAAACAAAGCAATTTCGAGGTCCCTGTATTAAATACCGGGGGCAGAATTATTATGTAATTCTCATAATAATACAGTGTAGCATATATAAATGGGTGTTTTATCACGCAACGATCGCCTTCATAAATCATAGAGCTGTATACACGTCTGTCAGTCATTACGTGATCATTAAAAAATCATTATAGTCGAAACCATAGCGAACGAGTTTCGTGTGACGACAGAAACCTTATTGGACTGGGGTCTCTTCAATGCAATGGGGTTGGAATTACATTCCGCAGGTCGTTTTCGTTTTACTTTCCTTCTGTTGCACTCAGGGTTGTCACGTTAGCGTAAAAAATTGAAAATTGGAAGAATCGATAGCAATTTGAAAACCGAAAATAATTCAAATATACTAATAATCATTTTTTAGATTTATTAAATTACACATGCAATATCTAATTAAAATTTTTACAATTCACAATTTAAAATTTAGGTGTCGAGGTAGACCGAGACTAACTTTCGAAGACCATGTGAGCAAATTGCTCGAAGAGGGTAGGGTCAAGAGTACTCGGATACCTAGACGTGCATATATGAAGAAGATAATGAATCTGAAAGAAGCGAAAGAGGTATGTAAGGATCGTGACACTTGGCGATATCGACACCTGCAAGGAAAAACATCGTAACTCATTTTTATCAACTTTTCAGGAGAGCGCGTCAAAGATTAAAAAAATTCTTAAGTCTTTCTATTAAGTCCTATCGCCATCTCACCGTGAAAATTTGAGTCAACAAAGGAAAATCTACACTTTCATATTCTTGATATGTTATTAATATATGTAATTTATTATTTTTTATGAGTTACAATCATATTACATCACATAAACCTTATAAAATGACATTGTAACTCAGACATACAACTCAACTTTGTGTGTTAATATTTACTTCATTAAGTTAAAAACATTGTAAGTCTGAGATACAATGCTTAACATGTATTTTTATGTATTTTAGAGTTAATGTAAGAATAAAACATGGTTAATTAATTAGGAAAATCTTTATTAATTTTAATTATAATAATCTCAAAATGCAAAAGATAAATCATGTTATCACACCAACGCATGTTATGAAAATATAATATTAAAAATTACCGTTTTTCCATTTCTGGTTCGTTCTTTCTTGTGTTTTGGTATAAGCTTCATTTTTGAGATCTGTTATAGGTACCTATCCAATCAACTTAAAGATAAGCATTATAGTCAGGCCCATGAAATTCTGAATATCACAATTAATAACAAATTTTTAAATATTTAAATAAACAAACATTACAAATTAAGGCAATCTAAAATCAGTTTATTAACTACTAAAATCAAATCTGAAAAATTCAAGCAATGCAATAAATAAAAAATTCTATAATATCTTTAAGAAACAATCATTTGAAATTTAAGCAAAAAGAATTATTAAAAAAAATGTCATTGATTAACATCAAAGATTTTTCTTTTTCAAATTTCAAATATTTGTTTCTGTAAGATATTTTATAATTTTTAGTTTACATACAGTATAGTAATTTATATACTTACTAAAATATACATAATACTTTTAAATCAAAATACTTCTTAATCAGAATCAGTCATATTATTTGGTAGAGTTGCTTTCAGATGAGGTAAATGTATAAAATAATCATGATATGTTGTTGTAATGGCATTGTTATTACATAAGCTAATTAAATCTTTGTACTTTGCTGTAGATAAAGGCAAAGGTGCATTATAAGCCTTTGAAATGTTTATCTCTTGTTCACTGTTTTGAGGTTCCTTGTTAGCGTGATGAGTAACTGCCCGAAGAGAAATTGTAGATGTGTCTAGATTTATAGCCATTTCATTGTCACTCAGATAATCATATTGATATTTATTTATATTTGGTAAGCTACTGATAAAATGAATGTGCATAATTGTACTCCAGGAGACTTTCACATGGTTTACATCGTGTTCCCAATTTTTGTAATATGGCAAAAGCTGTTTAAAATCTAATATCGTGTCTTGGTTTACTTCCTTGACTTCATACGCCTCACCATTAGATTTGGCGCACCTTATCAAAGTTACCAATTGCTGAGGTACGTAGATAATTTTATTATTTTTCCTCCGCTCAATAAGTGCATGCAACGAATCACCCTCTGATTGTGAATCTCCAAATTCAAAGAAGTGATGATTTATATTTATATTAAATGTTCTGCTAGCATATGCATACATTGCAAATACTGTCCTATTTTTATTCTGACCGCCACAGCTATCTATACGTGGTAGAGCCATGCTGCAGCTATATTAGTGGTATAGTTGTAGCACGAATGGGTCAGCTCGACCGGGGAAGGACCACGCTCTCACAGAAAACCAGCGTAAAATAGCAGCTTTTAACGCTGCTGTGTTTCATATGGTGAGTGTAGAGAACCGGAGACCCTTTTTACTGGCAAAGAGGCATTCCATCTTAGTCCTAACGGGTGACAACGCATCTGCATCTTGAGTCTTTATTGAGGATAGATGTAGATGTCTATGGGTCGCAGTGGCCACTTACCATCAGGTGGACTGTGTGCTCGTTTGTCACCCTATCCTACAAAAAAAAATTAAACTCTTTGTACCCTTCCTGTACCTTGATTTTTATGAAATCGAATACAAAACTACTTATTTCGTTAAATCCTTTGCGTCCGATCGTCTCGTCCCACAAGTAGCAATATCCTTTATGTTTACCCATATCACAGATCGTGAAGTTATATGTAGCAAGTTTTCTTTTGTAGTAAAATACGGATGCTTCTGAATGAGGAGTATTTAAAATTTTCTGTAAATCGTAACAAGCTGATACAACAGAATTGGAGTTCTTAGC